GAATCATTACAATTGTGACATAATAATTATAACGTTGGCCATAACTGGACGGTAGTGGCCATGGTTGTTCTTCATTTAATCAAACATTTGTACTTAAACTATTTTCATTGTAAATATTTGGATGAATTTCGAAACATACAAAAACTCTTTTCAACTAAAACTCATGATCAATGAACTTTTCGTCATTGAACAAGTCTCGCAACAAAAAGTTTCCGTTGTAGGCTTTAGGATACTTATTGTTAGCTGTGCGTTGTGACTGTAACCCTAGAATGATTATCGTGACGTCATTTGAAATGTGACGTCGTGATTTTAACGTTGGCCTTAACTGGATGGCACTAGTTGTTCTTCATTTCATCAAACATACGAGCAAGAAAACTAATTTTCATTGTTGAGTGATGCATTACGTAACATACTGTACCTTGTTACAAAACACTATCAATGACCTTTTCGTCATTGAACCAATGTTTTCTACTTTAGCCTTTAGGATACTTAAAACGTTCACTTCAGCCTTTAGGATACTCAAAATGTCCATTTCAGCCTTTAGGATACTTAAAACGTTCATTTCAGCCTTAAGGATACTCAAAATGTCATTTTAGCTTTTAGGATACTTAAAATATCTTCTATAGCCTTAAGGATACTTAGAACCTTCACTTCAGCCTTTAAGACACTTAAAAAACGTCCACTTAAGGCATAAGGACACTTAAAACGTCCACTTTGGCGTTTAGGATACTTACAACATCCACTTTAGCCTTAAGGACACATAACATGTCCACATAAGCCTTTAGGATAATTTAAAACCTCTATGTTAGCCTTTAGGATACTTAAAATGTCCATTTTGGCATTTAGAATACTTCAAACGTCGACTTTGGCGTTTAGGACACTTAAAACATCCACTTTGGCGTTTAGGACACTTAAAACGTCCACTTAAATCTTAAGTAAACTTAAAATGTCAACTTTATCCTTAAGAAGACTTCAAACGTCCACTTATGCCTTTAGGATACTTCAAACGTCCATTGCGACAATAACAAAACACAGTCATGCACGCAGATATAATATATTTTATTTCTTTTGAAATCCAGAATGTGATTATTGAATAACGGATAAAGTGGCACTTGTAGATAGTAAAAAAAATTCTCTCAAACATCAAAACTCAAATTATTTCTGTAAAGAATGTGACATAAATTGTAACTATAATTAAAAAAATTGTTTAAATGAATATTTAACATTACTGAAATATTTGACAGTTTATCCAATTTCTATTTCCTTATAAACTACAGAGGAAAATAATGAAAGAAATCAATAAATAAACATAAATAATTCACTAAAAATGTTAGCACTCAAATTCTTAAAATAATTTGAATAGTTGAACAAAAAAAACATTTGAAGACAAAAGGAAACGAGATTCGTTTTTTGAAATAAAAATTGTTGTGAATTTGTTCAAACATATGAAACGTAAATGAGTATCTGTAATTGTAATCAAGATTAAATAATTATTATCTTAAAAAATTCCAATACCAAAAACCAAGGTTTTCAACATGATTGAAAATGTCACAAGTACCAGCAATATATAAATATGCATGCCTTTACCTTAATATATAAATCTCATCTTTGTGTTGATGCAGGTGTTAATATATATCAAACATGTATTATCACAACATACAAGACAGTGGTATCAAATGATTCGTTCATATTTCGAGTTTGTCATCTTGAGCAATCAACATTAGATCAGCCCTACACCAATCCAAAACATGTCCTATGTGTATCAGTTTTACATCCTGAAGCAAGCGTTCTCCTTATGAAGTCTAACCTTTGATATACTGCCCCACCTTCTTTTGCGTTTGAAACCTGGCTTACCGCCAATATACCCAATCGGCCTCTTTTTAACAATTCCTATATATGTTTGTGTGTTACGTCCTATGAACAAACATGGTCATTAAAGGATGTGTTTGTGGAGGCGGGCTGGAGCACCTGAAAAAAACCTACTAACCAACAGCCAACAGTACCTGGCAACTGCCGAACGTATAAGCCCAGTGGTGGAGGGCTAGTGATCGTAGACAGTCAGACGCCTTAACAACTCGGCAACCGCGGCCCCACAAAAAAAGATGTATATGTTCATATATTGCCAAAACCAAAAAAATGGTGGCAGTATATATAATAAGGTTTTAGTGCACATGGGCCTGTATTTACACCACAACAGGCTCTTGCAGAAAATTATAAATGATAAACAAAGATAAAACAAAAGTCTATTGTAAGATTACAATCCAACTATTTGAATTAATAAAATATGGGAGGACTAGTATATGATATGTGGACAAAGCTAAAATACATGTTTAGGTAGGTACACATGGACCGTATATAAAAACAGCAGGTACATATACATACACTACAAAGTGTATAATACAATCGAATTATCTGAAATGATAAACATTTAGGAGGCTAGATATTTGTAATATAAAGTAGGAACCTGAGAGGAAAAGCATGCCAGGACTAGTATGATATGTCGACAAAACTAAAATACATGTTTAGGTAGGTATTCATGGACCAGTACATAAAAACAGCAGGTACATGTACATACATTCTTTAAAAGTGTACTTCTTACACAATCAAAATTTGTCAATTCGATACTGTGAAATCATATATTTTTGTGGGGCCCAAATTTCATGGTTTTCCCAAAAAACACCACTTCATGGGTACATGAATTTTCGGGTTACGAGTCCCCACTGAAATGGAGAATTGCTGTATATCAAACTTTCAGACCTCTGAATTTGTGGATAAAGATTACCCATGAAATCAACAAAATTAAAAACCCAACAAAGATAAGTGATTTCACAGTACTAGTATGTAAAAGGAAATATAACCGGACAAATTAAAAAATAATGAAATTAAGAGTATACAGGTAAAATGTAGAATTCATAAAAACACACCGATAGATTTTACTGTAGATCAAAGACCACACATTATTAATCTCACTTTCATAGCTTGTGTAAAAAAAAAAAATATGCTCATCAAAAACGTTTTGTTGCTTTTATATCTTTACAACAATTATGCCACAAATTTCACTATTTTAATATCATATCAATCAGTCTAGTTGGTCTGGATAGAAGCACTTTATATCATGATAGTCCCATTAGAATTGCTTTTATTACATCCATTGGCGTAGCAAATCAATTTTTCGAAGTGTATGCTTAATTACAGAGGGTTGAGCGTCCCAGGCGGAGGGGAGGGGGAACATTGTTTGAAAAAAAAATGAATTCTACTAGGCCCTAAAAGAAATCACTCGTATTCTGGGAACTCCTTTTAGTCTGACTAAGTAAAACCTGACTTCTATATGAACAATATCTGAATTTTGTTTTTCAATGAGGTAGTTTTTGATATACATAACCCTTTGAGATTGATCATTACATAGCAACACTATTTAAAGAGACTAAAATTTTCAAGAATATTTTTTTTTATCATTTTCCTTTTTATGATTCATACGGACAGTCCATATCAAATCATAAAAAAGAAATTAATAAAAATATCTGATTACAAAACATCTTCTTGAAAATTTTAGTGAATGCTTACAGGCCCAGTGGTGGATGGCTAGTGATCATAGACAGTCAAACGCCTTAAACAACTCGTGTGCCACCGACATCGTAAACACCTTCAATTCACACTTTTATTTAACACTTTTGAAACTTCATCATTTTAACTCTAGTCATCTTATGACATTATTTAATTCCCTTACCGGAGTATGTTTATAATTTCTATATATACTTTGAGTTGTTTCAGTATGTATGTCCTGTACAACAATAACTCTCAATAGCCGAAAAGATAATAATTCGAGCCCAAACACAGCACTACGAGTAGAAGTAACAAAACGAACACACAAACTCATAAAACAATGCGATCTACATATACAGTCATATGTAAAACTGATCATAATGAATATTAAAAACACATTTTAGTGAATTTAAAAACAAAACATGGCTTCATAATAATGCTGCAAAAATAAACAAAAAACGTCTTTTCAAAAGGCACTTGTTCAATGATACAAATTTGTGTGGAAGTCAATTTCAAAAAATCACATGGCACAACAAAAGTAGTGATGTTCCGAAAGCACTTTTTGTACGAAAAATTGATCTAGAGATCGTTAATTTCTTTAATTACCTTAATTAACAATAAATTCACATTTCTCAAAAATTCAAAGAGAGTATTTATTCATTGATTTATGCATACTTATATCAATTTAACTTAAAAAATAACATTAAAGAACCCAGTTATAAACAAAGCCTGCAGATGTCAGCGGGAAAGATTCATTTTAAAAAGGAAATCTGATAACATCTATTTTGTTGTTTTATTGATCTCTTGTCCTTATATTGGTTCCATAATAAAATGTAATTTTATGCAATGTGGCATTGAACAGTTCAAGCAAGATATTACTGAATTATCTCCCTTTGTTGAATTTTTTAATTAGTCACTGTCAAATTTATATCCAATAAAATTAGTTCACTTTCAAGAATAATCTACAAGCATTAGGGAGCAGATTATAATTGTGAATTCTTTGATGATATTGAAAATCATAATCACTTTGAATGAAATGAAACCATTTAACAGATTTTACTTCTCAGAGTAAGAGTAAATTTGAATTAAAAAGTGATATAGTGCAAGAATGACGTCACACAACACTTTGATAGTTCACACTGACAAATTGATGAAAAAAACCCCAATGATCACCAGAAATCACAAAACACAAAACAATTCTGGGATAAACTGATATATTATATTCTGGCAACTTTGATGTGAATGAAAAAATCCTGAAACAAATCTGTGAAAACCTTGCCATGCTTCATCAAAATATACATTATACTTCCCACCAGTGAGAAATACCAGCAATTAAAAGATAACACACTAAGGATATATCTATACAATCTGTATGCTCCAATAAAATACTTAATATCTTAACATAATGCCACATCACCCTGTAACCAACACATCAAACATAACAAACTTTTTTCCGCATTGTCTGAAGAGTACAAAACATTTGAACCTGATTATGTGTGCAGTTTTGCCATTTTCTTCCTTCCAGCATATTTGTGTTGTGTGTGTATTCTGGATACATTTGTCGGAATAATGCTTTCTTTTTTTCTTTAATTGTTCTTCTTTTGGTCCTGAAAAAATATGCATTAACCACTGAACTATTTTATCAAAGCACAAAACACTTAAAAAAATATTTTGTTCGTCTGAGCACACAAAGTATAGAACACATATACCATCTATTTTAACCTCTACTAATTTAAGGATACCTGTCTCACTGCACTGTGGGTTTTTTTCATATACACAGTAATCTCCCCTTAATTTCGTTTTGGATATAACTCTAGCAGAGTTGGGCTACTAGGATACTTCTGTTGACCAGGTAGCTCAATCGTTAGAACGACAGGATAACAATCTGAGGTCCAGGGTTTGAGTCCTGGCCTGGCCATCTTGTTTTGTTTTTATTTACTTAGAAACTGTTGGTTAATATATTTGCTGAAGTATTATTGCTGTATTGTTTTTCATTTAAGTCCTGCGAGGTATGGTTTCCTTTCAGAAATTCTTGATCTAAAATATAATAATGCTGGAAAAGTATGCTTCCACAGCATATTTGCATTATCCATTTATGTACCCTTAGTTGAATAACTTGGACGTTTTGGATATCTCTCCCAAATATTTCTTAATAGTTCTTCAAAAGTTTGTGTTGAATTTTGGACATTTTGCTTGCTTTTTTTCCATTCATTAAATAAGCACAAAAATATCCACGAATTTTTCTTTATAGATTATGTATATATATAAAAGATATCTAGAATATTTAGCAATTCGCTAATCTATTAAAATTTGATAATACGCTAAACTTTTAGTGCATAAACACCATAATACTGTGTTATTACACCGTAACACTGTGTTAATTTTTGTGGTATATATAGAAATCACACATGTTCTTTTCTGTTAATTGATATCAACATACATATGTACCTAACAGTTGATCAACATAAGACTGATATTCTGTCTGAGGTTCACCTACCGTGGAGAACGTAAGTCTAGGACAAAGAGAGCTGTCATCATTCAAAAGTGATCTCTTTCTTGTAGGCAGTCAGGGTGTTCTTCATCAACATGGCTACAGTGATTGGTCCCACACCACCGGGCACTGGTGTGATGTGGCCGGCCACCTTAGACACACCTGTAAAACAACAAGATACAGTGATATACCAAATCACTTATGCTGACTTGAATGAAAGTGTACAGAGCATATTAACGTAGGAAGAAACCTGTGCACCCTGAGAAAACCCACATGATCGACCCAATACTTTTTCAGGTCTGATCAGGGGATCAAAGCCCAGCCGTTTTAGTGAAAGGTAAGTCTGCTATCTGCTGCATCATTAGACCACCCAAAATACATTAGAAAGCATGTGTCTATAAACAATATAATATACACATCCAGTTCATCAATAATAGTAAACATTATAAAAAAGAGGGTATTAAGGAAGGTTTACCCTCAAAGTCAACATCCCCAACAAGTTTCATCTTGCCAGTTTTCTCATCCTTGACCCGGTTGATGCCGATGTCTATGACGGCCACCCCCTCCTTCACCATGTCAGCGGTGATCAGTCCTGGGATTCCCACCGCCACCACCAAAATATCTGCTGTCTTAGTGAATAATTTCAGCTGTTCTGGAGGGGTGTATCTGTGACATATAGTGGTGGTAGCATCACCTGTAAGATAGGGAGAAACATATAAACTTACTTTATTTTTTTACAACAATTATGAAACAAGTTATTTCAACTTAAATTAATCACTCTTGTTGACTTGGCTTTAAGCAGGGGGAGTCTTAATGTGGGAGGAAATAGGAGTATCTGGAGAAAACCCACATGGTCAGGCAGGTGACCCCACCCCGCCTTGGTGAAATTAGCAAGTCGATTTCCACTGCGCCTACCGACCACCCAAAAAGATACGGAGCACATGTCAATTATTAAATGTTAATTTTGATCAATCCATGATCTTATTGCTCCAATCAAAATAACAGTATTGAGCAAGAACTAATTAGTCTAATTGAACAAAATGAACATGCTACAGTTCTTTAAATCAATTTTCCATCAAAGTAAATGATTTACAAAAATTCATGTCAATATCATTTATTTTTCCTATTCTAAACAACAGCAAAACAAACAGAGATCTATTAATAGAATCAAAAGATTTACGAAATTCTTTTAGCGTGCATAATGTCTTTTTGTAGGGTATTATCTGGTTTGTCTTTAACCAATATTCAACAATGCATTAAATAACAATGAAAAATATTAATATTTACAGTATAAATTCTTATATATTCTTATATTTACTGCATAAGCTCTGTAGGAGAATATTCACTTTGCAGTCTATATATTTACTTGTGCAATATCCCTTTATCTTAAAAGGAAATGCTCATAAAACTGTCCAATCAGGTGTTTCTAGTATATTAATTGATGTCTTTCTGTGTTTCATGTGGCGATATTTCTTCACAATTTAAGATCCTGATATCTATAACATTATGCTCAATATTTCAAAATCTTTTTAGGACATTTCTAATTCTCACATTCAATATACCCGAGAAAATTAGGTAGTACGACTCACCTGCCTTGGTTTCGTAGACACCATCAGCATGCAGTAACATCGCTAAAGGCATCCCAACATTCTTGGAGCGCCCACAAACAACTGCATTTTTGCCAAACGTCTCTATACCTAGTTCAAAATACAGAATAATAATGCGTTAGAACTGCTGCTGAAGAAATTAAAATAATCAAAATGGTTCACTAATAAATAAGGCCATAGATGACACAATGATAAAAAGAATTGGAAAACAGGATTCCTCAGCAGAAAATAGGATTGAACAATGATTATCAAAATATTTCTTTTCCAATAAAATCTTTACAGTAAATTCACAAAGAAAGCAAATATACAAATGTCGTCAAAACTGCATGTAAATCATATCATTATCCAGACTGATAACGAATGTTGTAAAACAATATTTATCAATATGACATTTTTCCTTTTTTTTATCAAGACAAACATGTATCCTGTCTACATCTCTTGCAACTTAATTCCAGAAAAAAACACCTATAATCGTAACAAAAAAAATGCATCTTTCAGAATATTTTTTAAATTTGAGAAAAAATAACTTTTATGCTTGTAGCTACGAATAGTTCCAGTTTTTGGCTGGCTAAAAGCTACACCAATCTTACTAACCTGACCTCCGGAGAATCTCCATAACCCCAGCTGGTGTTGCTGGCACAAACGACTTCTGGTCTGAGCAGAATTTGCCGATGTTGATGATGTTGAAGCCGTCAACATCCTTACTGGGATGCACCGCGTTACACACCTTCCGCTCCGTGATGTGTTTGGGGACGGGGAGCTGGACCAATAGACCGTCCACTTCGTCACTATCGCTCTTCTCCTTGATCAGACTGAGCAGGTGTTCCTCCGTGGTCTCCACCGGTAGCACTATCTTCTCACTTGTAATCCCTAGAACATCACACAAGTCAGATATCTTTGCATATAACGAAAAAGTGTTAAATATAAGAATTAAGAACATATTGCTAGATAAACATCTCCGACCTTCTATTTTCAATTTCAAAATGTTTATTCTACAAAGTATTGTGGCATCCAATTGCATACCAAAAAATCAATGGTGATTTATAATTTTTTCATAATCATTTAACTCAAGTCACCCCTGATATGTTATAATGAACTATTCCAACCTTTGAATTGGAAGAGTTCAAATGTGTCTTTAGGGGTGAATGAGTTAAATAATAAGGTATTCGTGATGGTTTCAATTAACAAATGAAAAACCAACAACTGTATTTTGTATCCAGTTTCATTTAGCACTAGTAGTGAAATGTTTGTGTGTGATGTTTCAAAGACTGGTGTGATATGTTCTCTGTCACCTCCATCAGACAATTGCCTGGTTTTGTGTGTTGAATGTGTCAGAGAACAGACATGTATTGAACTACCAATTGAAAATCACAACTATTTCACTGGTTGTGGTCTATGAGTCTCTATATCACTTCCAACCTGAAAAAGTATTTCGAACAAAAGGGGGAAAAAACATGTGACTAAAAAAAAAATCAAAATATTTGAATAAATGCACAATTCTCATCAAAACTTATGCAAAAGTTTCAATCTTGCGAGTTTTTATCCAAATAAATGTAAACCTCTGCAAGTTTTCTGAGATGAGAAAATACTTTGTATCCGAATGCATGAACATATTATACAATTAATTACACAGGGTATCACAACACTTTGGATATAATCATGTACTAGATGTTTCTGTTCTTTAGGATAAACTCTAGAATCGTAAACAAACTATTCAAATGCATTTTTTTTATACCACATTATAATTTAGCTGTCAGAGCAAGAACAAAGTCTTCAAAAGCACTGGTCCTTCAGGCAAATGGGTTTGAATAAGTACTTGCCTGGAGGGCTAATACACAGGTCCCAAAAATTATAAATAAAGGTACACTTCATTGATTTTGGCCTTAATAGCATTAACATTGTATTCAACAGTATGCTGTGAATGTAGCTGTATTCAAAAGAAAATTCTGTTCTGATCTGTCTGCCGGGCATGTCAACACATGTTTCCACTAGACCACATGCATGTAACAGTGACAGACAATTTATTGGCCCCTGGCCATCTAACATCAGATTTGTTTTACTGTGGTTGTGGAGCGATTATTTACCTGTGTATTTACAAGCCTTAATTTTGTTGGTAACATAGGCCTTGCTTGCTGGATCCTCTCCCACTTGTATCACACACAGGTTAGGGGGGCGTCGTCCTTCAGCTACAAAACCCTCAATTTCTGCCTTCACTTCATCCTTCATATCTTTTGCTATGGCCACTCCATCTAAAATTTTAGCTGCTGCTAATCTGGAATAAACAAATTATGTATTTGATAAAATTGTAAAGATGTAATCTTTTAGTAAAAAAAAAAAAAAATGTTGTATAAATACACTTGTTTCGATGGGTAGGTTGGACAGGGGGAATCATTTATACTGCAAATACAGATTTATGATACCTGTACACAGGGTGACTGTCTTTTTTCCACCTTGTATTTTCAAATTATCTATTAAGGTATATTGCATATTAAATGTTTAGGATAAGAACTGTCTGTCAGTGTTTTGTATGTCAAGTCAAAGTGGGGAAAAAAACGTTGTTTAATATTTAAAAAATCATTAATTATTAATGTACTTGAAATCCATTTTTAGTTAGTAAAAAGAATTAAAAAATAAAAATAATTAGATCTTGCCAGGGACGTATAGTGATACTGTCCCTGGATCTTGCATAAGAAAAAAAAAGAGCTAATTAAATAATGGACATATGTAAATAATGTAACATAAACAAATATTATTATTATAATTGTTATTGAAATTCATTCTAAGTTTATTTTATTTTATTCTTATGGACAACAGGGAGCAAGCAATATTGACCTTGTAGGTAACTATATATTCATCTGTAACCCAAACCTAATAATACTTAATTACAAGTCTGGTTAGCTTGATGAATCAATAATGTGATGTTCCATCTGATGTTATTTTCTAATGAGGATACCTTAAAAGTGTTTTTTTCAACAATTTCTGTACTCAGCATATCATTTTACCTTTAAATATCAAGTGCAGATCATATTAATCAGGAATTTTCACAAACATAACTGTTATACACTATTACCAAATAGTTATATTAAGCTGTGTATTTTTCTTTGGGGTGTTAAGCTGTGTTAAGATTTCAAACACCTAAGTCTTGGTCATGGACTCATTCATGTTTAATCGCTATACAAGGAATTTCTTTAACATAGTATGATAATGCCTTTAATTTATTTTAAGAAACACGTACAACACCACATGTACATATGCTAATCATTAATATGAGGACCATGTAAAGGGAAGTAACTCGTAATTATTTTATGACTACAAAAAATATTCCATTACCGCAATGGAAAGTTTTGAAATTGTAATACATTTAGAGGAGAGATCAAAATTCCTAAAAATAGCTTTAATTGCACATTTGTATAAACTGTAAGATGCAATAATAAAACGTAATTGTGAACTGGGTATCTATAAACAGCAACTGAAAACATCGTTCACATTTTACGAGACTACTGAAAGTAACCGTTGTGCACGTGTCCAAAACATTCAATATAAAGTGTTCTAATGAACTTGATGCATTTTCCTCGCGATTATGAATGCATTTCTCACCTGCTTGATGTACATATTGATTTTTGAGAGACCGCATCCATAGATTTGCGGCTAAGCCTGCAAAACGTCTGTAAAATCTTCCTTGACATCTTGTGTATTTCTGCAGGGCAACCCTATTTTTAGATCTGGAAACGTGCCGTTTAACAGCAGCGTCAAGTTGACGCTATCATTGTAAAATACCATTCAAAGCAAGCGTATCGATGACCACAGAGTTTGACAACTCCTACAATAATGGCGACTTCCGTATCAAAACAAGACGACACATCTTCATATGATGCAGACAAAGATGCACCATCATCGACAGCAAATGCAAAGTGGCCCGAACCTGTCGTATCATCTAGCATATCAAGTATTCTAAGTATGCTAATCGAGAAAAAACCGGAAAGGAAATTAAAACGTCCACGTAAGTGTTTGATGTTGGCACAATTTTGCTGTCAGTTTTTAGAATGAATAAATGAATAATCCAATGCTAATCTTTAACTTTAGTTACTGCAATTAATGGCTAAACCTCAAAATGACAATATATCTGCCACGTATACATACGGTCGCAGCTATATTGTGCACTTCAAATGATGCACAAAAGCCATTTTGGTCTCTATAGATCTAGAGTATAACAATAATAAGTATACATGTCATGTGTACTGTAAGTGTAACTGTTAGCTGGCCGTGCTCATTGGTATTCTGAGACGTGCAGTAAGGTTTTATCCGTCTAGACTATTTATATTAGTTTTAATCAGAAATGGTTAACCTAATGCATTATCTATTCTTAAATATATATATATGTACTGAAACGTTGCACACTGGCAGCTGAATTTTACTGTATCAGTGTAAACAATTACATTCTTTTTATCAGTCATGTGACAGTGATTGGTCGATCACATGGTCAAGTTAAGGAGTACTTAGGATTTTTTTCTCACTTCTTTCTTTCTAGAGACTCCCTAATCATTTCCTATTTTTGTTTGATAAATGTTTTGGGTAATATCAAGTGCTTCTGAAATGTATGATGAACACATTTCTTAGATAAGAAAAATCAGTGTGTATATACATATGGACTAAGATAGTAAAAATACTTCCTCAATTAATTATAATATGTAAATCAAATTTTAAGATAGCAAAAATACTTCTCAATTAATTATAATCTGTAAAATAAAATGTAATTTATAGCGATCTAAATAAGCAGTCAGCACATGAGACACCAGAACTAAATGGCTTTTTGCTGCCTGTCATGTATTTATCTTTTATATGAGTAGTCTCCCTTGAACTACTGTTGCTGTGACCTATATATTCTAAAGTACATATCTGAAATAATAGTTGTGTACCTATGTATACCATTGATAGCTTTTACATTGCTGATTATAGTAAGAGAATTTGAAGCTACTATCTCCCACCTACTGTGTACTTTTCACGCTTTAAATATTGTGCTAAATTATATTGATTGCCTCGAGTGAAGTCCCTGTATCTTATTTTCTATTACTTATTGGGTGTGCTAATTCATCAATGTGCTAACATAACCTGTTAAAATTTGATTGCATACTAAAAATTGAGTGTGCTGAAATAAGTACGCTGACAATAATTTACCGGCCAAAAAAGCCAGTTTGCAGTCTGCACTGTATGACTGCAGAAGTCAAATGACACCAGAGGAATCCCAAAATGATATAAACAGCTCTGCCAAACAACTTAGATAGGAGAGTTCAATAATATACTGTAAATTTACAACATGAACAACCAACTTTGTTGAAGACACTGGTTGTGTTCCATTTATTATACACAGTTGAATATTCACTGATTCTGATATATTCCAAACACAATCTTTATTAGAAATATAAGGCTCTACGTATACCTACATGTACCTAGCAGTCATAAGCTAACATTCAGTCCAATAACTTATTATCATCTTTCACATTATGTATGTGGTCTTGTAGTTTCTGACTGCACACATGAAGGCACAGGTAAACCCTGCAATCCCTTCATTTGACAGTAGAGCCCTATCCTGTAGATCAGTTTAGCTTTGTACAATAATATATATGTTTTTCTGAGACTTGAAAAAAAAACATGTTTTTAGACAAGAGTTGTTCCCCTTGATGCTCCAATGGCTCATGTAATCTTCATTATATAAGAGATTGCTTTCAATCAACTAAGATATTGCAGGATCAACTAATACACAGGTATTTTCAGTGTTCATTATTGCATAGTTATAACAGGCTAACAGCTGCAAGCCAAAAACTTTTTTTTTTTTTACAGAATTTATAAAAAAAAAAGAGTATTATCCCTGTAACAAATGTCTACCTTTGTAATACAATTGTATTGTAACAGGAGAAAGAGAAATGACATCGCAAGACCTGGGTTCGAACCCGAGACCCTCCAAACTCTAGACAATCAACCCAGTCCAGTTCCGCTACATTCCCCCCTCCTGTAACAAAGTCTTTGACCCCGAAAACACACCAGACCCTATACTACCTTCTGTGTGTATATTTTGTTGGGCGCTAAATTTGTAACAGAAAAAGAGAAATACAACAGCCAGACCGGGGTTCAAACCTGGGACCCTCCGAACTCTAGATGGACGCTCTAATCAATTGAGCTACAATATTGTACCTGGTCACTGGCGATTGACCCAGTCCAGTTCTGCTGCTTAACAATATTTTGAATACAATGGCTAATCAAGAAAAGTTTGCCCTTCCCTCCATGTAATTATACAAAACTCATTTTTACTGTAACCCTTATCCTTAAAAATTACTATTTTCCCAACTAAAATTTTCAAGCATTGAAGCTGGACAGTGCTGCAGCCAGCAAGTGACTGCATGTGTGTGTGTATACTCAGGCAGATATTATATATACCTGATAGTCATAAAGGCTAGTTAGCTTTCTCAATATATTCATGAAGAAACTAGGCAGAAGACTTTATGATGTATTAGAGCAAAGGTTATTAATTCAATAATATGTCATTTGTTTACTAAGAGCTACCATAATGAATTTCTAAGCATGTTGCTGTATGAAATTAATAGCGAGCTGATTTGTGTCTCGATCCATTGAAACTGAATATTACGCCTGAACTAGCGTCTTCTATATAATGTAAACTTTCAGTAATTTTTTGCTATAACTTCACTTTGTATTTGTTATCTTTGAAACAATTACAATAGTATTTCCATTAATTGTGCTGATTTGTACTGCACAATATCTTAAATAAGAAACCAAATGCACTAATTTAAAAAGTAAAAATTATTTATAAGTTTACAAATATTTACCTGGGTTTTTGGCCATGCAACTGAGTGCTCTGTGAGCCGTTCGTAATTTGATATATGACTGCAAGATCAAGGACTACCACAGCCTGAGTTACCTCTGGCCCTGAAACCAGACTTAGACAATTTGACGGATAGATGTCTGGTGTGAGTCCCCAGACGTCTATCTGTCAAAATGTCACAGTCTGGTGTAAGGGCAAGAGGAACCACAGGCTAGGAGTACCAGTAAAGCACAGGCTTAAATCCATTAACTAAACTGAAATCTCAAGTTCTACAAGTATGATTAAAATTTTATCATGAAATGTAGAATTACGTCAGCACTGTGGATAGAGTCATGATAACTATGAACACCATCATGCAGGTATCCAACCCTCATTCCTCCCACATTGGAATTGACCCCATTGCAGGGATTTTAAGTCCCCACAGCCCCCCTCCCCCATCTTGATTCTCTGTGAAAAAAGTCGGGACATCAGATATCAGATCAATAGTTTGTTGGTGTGGTGTTTTTTTTTTTCGCTACATAAATTTCAGTTTCATTTATAATGAACATATTTATAGTTGACATATTTTGTTGACACCATATTATTCAATCTGCTTATGAAAGAAAACAGTATGCATGATTATCCTAGATCTGATGAACTTTTGATGAAAGTTTTGTGTTTTGGAAGCTAACAACTAGTGCATGTAAAAAAAAGAAATTAATGAAAAAAAAAGGTAAGAATGTTTAGACTGCTTTTGTTATATTCCCAAGTGTCTATGTCTTTCCACTATCAATATTTAACAAAGAACTGACTTAAGTTCATACTTTGCTTGGTAACGAGTATATGGGCCTCCCTTGGTTTGATATTGAGCGTATTACCACTCTTGGTATTTACATTGAGTGGATTACTTCCCTTGGTATGAGATTGAGTGGATTACTTCCCTTGCTGTGAGATTGAGTGGATTATTTCCCTAGGTATGAGATTGAGCGTATTACCTCCCTTGGTAATAGATTGAGTGGAATACTTCCCTTTGTATGAGATTGAGTGGATTACTCCCCTTGGTATGAGATTGAGGGTAACCTCCCTTGGTATGAGATTGAGCGTATAACCTCTCTTGGTATGTGATTGAGTGTATTATCTCTCTTGGTATGAGATTGAGCGTGTATTATCTCTCTTGGTATGAGATTGAGTGGATTACTTCCCTTGATATGAGATTGATAGGATTACTTCCCTTGATATAAGATTGAGCGTTTATTACCTCTCTTGGTATGAGATTGAGGGGATTACTTCCCTTGGTATGAGATTGAGCATATGACCTCCATTGGTATGAGATTGAGCGTGTATTACCTCTCTTGGTATGAGATTGAGCGTATTACCTCCCTTGGTATGAGATTGAGCATATTACCTCTCTTGGTATGAGATTGAGCGTATTACCTCCGGTTGTATGAGATTGAGTGTATTACCTCCCTTGGTATGAGATTGAGCATATTACCTCTCTTGGTATGGGATAGAGCCTTTTACCTCCCTTGGTATGAGATAGAGCATATTACCTCCCTTGGTATATCATTGAGATTAATATAATCTCTAACCCCCTTGGGGGTGAGATAGGAGAATCTCAACCCGAGGCGGAAGATTCTTAAGTTAAGAATCTTTCCCCGAGGGTTGAGATTCCCCTATTTCACTCACAAGGGGGTGAATGATTCTTTTTCTCTTACCCTGTTCTCCCATTGTGTATCATATACACAATTTAATGAAAATGTTACATGATTAATTCAGGGTTGACGTGACCTTGATGGATTGTTGAAGTGAAGTCACTGTATTGTTGAAGTGATGTCATACTATTGTTATGAATAGGGGAATCCCCCCGTCTCAACCCTAGGGTGAGACAAGGAAATCTCACACCAGAGAAAGTGCCGATAAACCTGTCCAGGATAAGAGAATGAGCGTATTCCTTCCCTTGGTATGAGATTGAGCGTATTACCTCCCTTTGTATGAGATTGAGCTTATTACCTATCTTGGTATGAGATTGAGTGTATGACTTCTCTTGATATGACATTGAGCGTATTACCTCCCTTGGTATCAGATTGAGCGTATATTACCTGTTAACTGGTTAGACAGTCTTAACACTGAGTCCTGCCATTAAAAGTAGTCCTAAAGGAGTCTACCAAAATACTAATATCGAAATT